AAGGGCCAGATGTCCGCCGCGGCGCAGAGCGCGAAGAAAGTGCTGCGCCCGCTCAGGGCAACGACAGAGACAAGGCGAAGGGGAAAGGCAAGGACAAGGAGAAGCGACAATGCTGGAGGCACCTGGCCGGACAGCCCTGCCCAGTCGGAAATGATTGTTGGGGCAGGGGCACCGCCCCTGGACACTCCCGACTGGAGAGGCAGCCTTTCGGCGACTATGTCACAGGAGTCGGCCTGGGCGGGGCTGAAGCTGACCGCTGCTGCTTTGCCCCGACGACGGGGGCGCCGACTTACATTTGCCACTCCCACAGTTCTCTGCGCTGGATCAGGCTTCCAAGCGCCGCACTTTGGCAGGGTGCCATCCCTCGGACGATCTTCTCACGCGGGTGGGCAGCGCGCGGGCGACCGCGTGATTGCACGTGGCAGCAGTTGCCTGGTTGTACCGACAAACGCGCGGAATGGGATCGAAGATGACCTACACGTGAAATTGCCGATGCGTCTCCAGGCGGGTGGAATCGTGGCGCTTCCGAAGCGGGCCCTCTAACCATTGAGAAATGAGAGACCTACGAGAAGCGCTCCATCGACGCGAATGTCCAAACGAAAACGCGCCCTGGTCAGTGGGCAGCGAAGGCGCGCGTAGACCCGAGCGCGCCGCATCCGGCCACTTGGACTCTTCGACCGAAGAAAACGCAACAAGGTCGATGCCCAGTGCGCGCGCGAAGGCGCGGGCCCACGTGCGGCTGGAATTCGATGAAGCTGTGGCACTGGAACAAGAAGTCTGGCGCATGTGGGCTGGCTGGGGGCAAGTGTCCGATGGCTGGCTCAGCGACGCCAGCTGTGGACATGATGGCGACCTGGTTGCTGCTGCGTCTGCTAGAAAATTACGGGGGGCCATGGTGGATAAGAAGTCGGGCGCGGTTCGTCTTGGATCCATGCGGTCCATCGCCGATGCAGGCCGCGGTTCGAATCCGATCTCCGCCAAGTACTCGCAAGAGGCAGGAATGTCTGACGGGATCTCCGCTGGCCGCCCCCATCGGCCTAAATGCGGCGGGCGGCCAGTCTAGAGTCTACGGCGCGATCGGGATAGCCAGCGACAAGTTGAACAAAGAAGAGATGAAAGCAACAGTCATGCCAGAAACTCCGAGCGTGATATCAGTGGGCGAGCTCTGGATGGACAGCGGTCACAGTTTCCGCTGGGCAACCAACAGAGCGCCGCGTCTACTGCTGCCACATGGAAGAAGGTTGGAACTTTCAGTCGAGGGCAAGATCCCCCACCTTAACCATGAATGGCAGATGGGGCCTTGGGTCATGTAGACGAGACAGCCCCCGCCGGCTCGCCCGGGCTTGAGCGGCGGGCGCGCGTGGAGATCGGCGCGAGGTCTAGCTTGATGAACCTGGTGCGCTGGGTGACCCCCCGTCCCAGGCACCCAGGCACCGCGCGACCCTTGAGTTGCGCGCGCGGAATCGCGGAAGGTGATGGCAGGAGACCCATATTCGAATGGCAAGCTGGATATCCAGTCGGACGGCGGCTTAGGATTTCTAACCACGGACAGCGCATTGGCACCGCAGTTTGCTGTGATCACCTACTTCTACGATGAGCCCACGAAGCAGCCGAGCTAGGGTGGGCGAAGACGGACGCAGGTTTTGTGAGCGGCAGTGCTGAAAGTGCACGGTGCCGCGGCCAGGGCGCGGGCAGGGCTACGCCTTGTCGGGCGATGGTGGCGCCTGCACTTGAGGGAGGAGAAGTCGCCGATGCAGCGCCTGAGGGGCCAGGGGCCGTGGAGGTAGTCGACGATCCTGGCGATGGCCCACTTGAAGATGCAGGACATGAGGGGGCGACCGAGTACGAAAGCCTCCAACGGGAGGCCGTCTCGCGCCAGCACCTACTCATTCATATGCCGAAGAACCCGTTCTGCTCAACCTGCCAGTGGGCAGAGACGTTGAGAACACATCAAAAGCTGAAGAAAAAAAGGCTGACAAGCAGATGCGACCATATTTAGAGCCGAAGAAGTTTGGCCTGTGCACCATGGGCCACTGGCTCGCGGCTGATGAGCTCTCGAGGGGCTCTTATGGGGGAACCCCGTGCGTGACACACGCTGGATTCCTGGCAAGCCAGAGCACCCGCGACAAGTCGGCCGAGCACGCGGTTGCCGCCGAGAGGCTAGAATGCATCCACGCGGACGCGGCCCCTGAATTGAAGAGAGCATGCAAGTCACTGAACGCGCGTCCTCTGGGCGAGTCCATGACTGCTCATGATTCCGCGCGGCCCGCGAACAAGAAGCGTGGCCCAGTAGCTGAGAGGGCCGGCGCTATCGCGCAGTGCCAGCCATGCGTTGGTCCTGAGCCAGCCTGCCTGCCAGTGCCCGCGGCGACCCGCCCGCGCGCGGCCACGCGCGAAAAACGATGGACGGAGATCGGGAGGAGGGCGCGGGAGAGGACGCAGGACGCAGCTGAGTTCGAGCAGGTAGCGAGCCACAAACGCACCATAGACGAGAAAACGCGGATGTGTGTTGACATCCGGTCGGGAACCTTTGGACAGCGCGTCGCTCCACCAGTTCTGGCCCACCGCGCTGCGGTGCGACACACTAGCCACTTCACGGCCCCGACGCGTCAACGTCTCGAGCTTCCCCGGGCCTCTCGCCCCGCGGAGCGGAGCGGCACGCTTTCCGCTTGCAAGGCATAGCGTGTCGCCAGGGCCGCCGCTGGAGCACGCTCAGCAAAAGTCCCCGACCGTAAACAGGCGAGCTCCAGGCAATTTAGCCGCACGTCGCGGCACGCGAGTTTGTCACGGAACACCGCGTCTGTGGCGTGATGCCAGCGCTCCAGAGGCCCATTTCGAGCTCGGCGGCCGGCTCCGCTGCGCGGGCCGTCGGGCACGGCTTTCTGAAGCGCATCGAGCTGGGCGGGGGGCGTGACGCGGCCACGCGCCGCAGCGTTGGCGCAAGAGGAATGGATGGCGGGCGACGCGGGCGACGCCAATTGTGCCCATATTCAAGCAATGGCGAGGCGCCCTGGCTTGCCAATGAGCCCACCGAAGACTGTTCTACGAGTTTTTTGGTGGCCTGTGCGAAATGCTTTTCTTGAAACTCTACTGGCTGAGACACTCTTCTGTTAATGCATCAGTGCTCTGTTTGTCGGTCAGTGCTATGGTTCGTAGAGCACCTATGTGTACGAATACCATGCCGTGGTAGGCCTATAGGCTTATAGGAATGCCAGGCGTCGGTCCCTGCTCAACATATTCCACACAGAGAGTTCCCACGTCAGACGCCACCGATGCACCAAACCCAGCACCAGCAGGCTGCTCCACAGCTAGAGAGCCAGAGCGCACATCATCTGCGACGGGTCGGGTGGAGGACGAGGACGAGGAGGAGGAGGAGGAGGAGGAGGAGGAGGAGGAAAAGGAGGAGGAGGAGGAGGAGGAGGAGGAGGAGTGAGGGGAGGGGGAGGAGGGGGAGGAGGAGGAGGAGGGGGAGGATGAGGGGGAGGAGGAGAGTGGATTTGGGGGGTTTTGTTTCTCTGGGCCCCCTCTGGGGACCCACAGTTGGACTCGCCTCTGACTCCTGGTGTTTGTGCAGCGCTCCGCGACAGGCCTGGGCCGATTCATGATGGGCGAGGGGGGAGGATCGGGAAGAGAAGGACGAAAAGAAGAAGAAGAAGAAAAGTATGAACAATAAGAATAATACGAATAAGAAGAAGAAGTAGGGGGAGGATGAGGGTGGAAAGAGGAGGTAGAGAAGGTACGGCCGGGAAGTTTTGCTTTGCGTGTTCCGGCGCAAGTTCTGGGTCTTTCTGCCTCGGCGAGACATGCTAACCACATCCAGGTCCGCGAGCGTCAATGTCCCGAGCTTTTCCCAGCCTCCCGGCCCGCGAAGCGGAGCGACACGCTATCCGCTTGCAAGGTATAGCGTGTCGACGGGGCCGCCGCCACGACACGCTCAGCAACGGCTCCCGACCGTAGGAGGAGACAGAGAAGGTATTCATTTTTACCGTGGCCCGTGCTCGCGCGAGAATGCACCCAGACGCTTAAACAAGGACCATTTCAAATCTCAGGAGGGGCTTTGTGTTTCGGGCCGTTCCTCAGATCCAGGTCGGGGGAAGCATGAAAATGTGTACCCGAAGCCCGCCGTTGCCCGAGAAGCCCTTCGCTCCTCATGCAGCGTTCCCTATGGTGGCACGGTGGCTGTACCGTGGCCGGTCACCGCACGTGAATAATCGCAGTTCGTTTGTCGACTACACGTAAGAGTGCCCCTTCGCCAGAGTGACCTTTGGTGCGGGCCCATTGGGGTTCCCCGATCGCCGAACGCGATGCGATAGCAGCGTCTTGCGCGCTTGTGTTTGGCCCCCCCGCGGCTCCCAAAAAGCCGCGCACCAAAGGTCACTCGTACCCCTGGTCACCTTTGCGTGTAGCCGAGTTTGGTTCTTCGCACGCTTCCCGTCGCGGCTTCTCGTGCGACAACCCTGTCTCGAGCTCGGCGCGCGTGGTTCGACGCTGTGCCTCCCCCTCCTTTCGGGCGGGCACGGGCGAACACAGCGCCCGAAGGATTTGCCTACCGCGTAGGTGCAGGAGGATTTCTCTTGCCCAGCTTTCGTGTTGAATTGGCACGTCGTTCCAGGGTGTTTTCTAGCCTTATGAACCCGCGTTCATGTGCCGTCGAGGCCGAAGCTTAATGATCCACCCCCGCTTGCGAGGTGCGTTCCGCAAGCCCAGAGCAAATTGCCGGCGGCGTTCACCTGTTGTGCATCTGCCGCCTCTGGCCGAAGGGCGCCACGTCGGTCACTTCTAGTGCTCGACCGCCTCGATCGGGCGGTCACCGTGCTCCATGCCCAATGAGCAGGAAAGTTCCGGTTCGGTTCGGTTCGATTCCGAAGTGTTTCCGTTTAAGTTCGGTTCGTTTCTGTTCGGTGTCGTAAGTATTCTGGTTCGGTTCGTTCACATTTTTGTTTCCGGTTCGGTTCGGTTCGGTTCTTGTTCCGCTTCGGTCCGGTGTCTGTTTCCGCCAGATCGCCTACTGGACCGCCCAGCGAGTTCTGTCTTCGTCAAGCGGCAAGGTGCTTCGCTGCCTGCCTTCTCTCGTCGTTGTCGTCGTCGTCGTCGTCGTCGTGTTGTGCCTCCGCTTCTTCCTCGTCGTCGTTGCCTTCGCTTCGAGGTCCCAGGGGGCCCCCAGGTCTCCCGGAAGGCTTCGGAGGTCCCGGGGGTCACGGGGGTCCCGCGGGGGAGCGGTCACGGGGGTCGCGAGGGGAGGGGTCACGGGTGTCACGGGTGTCACGGGGGGGAGAGGTCACAGGAGTCACGGGGGTCACAGGGGGAAAGGGGTCACAGTACAGGAGTCACGGGGGCCCCGCGGGGGAGGGATCACAGGGGTCATGTGGTCCCGCGGGGGAGGGGTCACGGGGTTCCGGGGGTTATAGCGATTTCCGAGGGCCTCTACGACGACTCGTCGAGTTGACGTGGAGGTTCGTTCGTTCCGGTTCGGTCCGGTTCCGTTTCCAGATCGTTCCGGTTTGGTCATTCCCGTTCAGTCCGGTCCGCATCAAAATCAAGGCTGGTTCGTTTCGGCTCGGTTCGGGCATCGAAAACCATTTTTCGGTTCGGTTCGGTTCGTGTTGATATAAGCATCGGTTCACGCCGGTTCGGTTCGTCCCGGTTTGGTTCGGGCGGTTCGGTTCGGTTCTGGAACCATGCTGAATGAGGGAGCCGTGCGCCCCTTCAGGCTAATACCGCAGGGTAGGTACCGAGTGGGGGAAAGGTCGGTGGCAAGCAAAGGGGACCACGATCAGGCAGGCGGAGGCAGGCGATTCCTTAGCAGGAGCCAGCCTTCTTGACAGTCAAGTTCGCACCACCGCCTCCCCTTCACTTGTCGGCGTCGTGAAAATTAAGGGGCCCATTTATGTTGCGCGTTTTACCAGGCCCGATTGACCCGTGAGAGTGATCGAGCGCGACGCGGGCCCCAGTGCAATACCCCCGTCGCGATTCTCTGCGACGCCGTTATGTGGGAAGTTGGGAAGCTACGGAAGTCGTCTGCGGACGCATCCAGAGGCCTCTGGGAGTTTCCAGAGGCCCTCATTCTTCGAGTCTCCAGACCTCCCAAGTTGGGCCAGAGCAGATAGGGTCGGAAGATCGCGACGCATCGGCGATGCGGCGCGATCTTTCGACCCCATTTGCTCGGACCCCATTTGGGAGTCCCCTTAGTGTCGGGGGGGAATGGGCGCTCCCCGTCTCGCTTACTTGTCAAGGAAGCGCAAGCATATCGAATGGCCTTCGGCCCATCCCGCCACCATGCTTGGGTTGTGGGTCAGATTTCTCACGGATGCTTCTTCGGGTCTCGTCGGGGCGCTCTCAGGGGCCTCTTGAGTGCAGTTTCGGGGCCTTTTAGGAGCCTGTTGGGTGCCTCTTGGGGGCTCGGGGCCTCTTGGGAGCCTTTTAGGGCCTCTCGGGGGCCTCTTGATGGCCTCTTGGTGGCCTCTTGGGGCCTCCTGGGGGCATCTCGGACCCGAGGGCTCGAAATGTTCGCTCGGGGCCGCTTTTGGTGCCCTCTTGGGCCGTCTTGCGCGCTTCATGGGCTGTTTTGATGCCTTCTTGGGCCGTCGTGGGGGCCTCTTGGGGGCCTCTGGGGTCGTCTTGGGGCGATCTTGGAGCTTCGTGGGCCGTCATGGAGCGTCGGGAAGCTGGAAAGGCGAGAACCCCCAAAGTCTGGACTGATTGACCAGAGATGGCCGTACACGGTTTGTTGCCAGCTCTGGTGTCTTTTCAACATTTCTAATGCATATGTCTATGTGCGCCTGCCCCTTGACGTCCTGCTCGTGAGGGGTCAATAAGAACTACTCAGCTCAACTTAAAGCGTTTTGAGTAAGCAGCCGGTACGAATGCTGGATGGTCAGAGCTCAAGAGCGCTCACCACCATCAGCACCCGCGAGAGGCTTCTGGCGGACCTCCTTAGCACGAATGTGTTGTCGCCCGCATTCGCTTCGCGGTCAAAAGAAAGAAGCCAATGCCGCGTTTACTTTAAAGTGAGCTGGGGATACAGGTAAGTGGGAAGGAGCGTGCGCCCGCGGCCGCTTGGCTCAAGCGGCCGGCCGCCCAGATCTGCTTACACTTCAGTGCGAGGTGTATGATTTGCCATCGATACCACAATTGCTTGAGATGGCTCGCCTCTTACTATTGGGACTATCGCTACTATGGTACAGCAAAGCTGGAGGTGGGCTTCGCCAGAGGCGAAGCTGCTGTTTGGGCCTCCCAACCCCTTTCAAACTTGGTAGCGGAGCTGGCCTATGGTGGTCTCTTGCTCTACTCCTCACCATCGACGGCACTATCTGATGGACTACTGAAGTGGTGGAACATCAGGGTGCAGTGGGTTTGCGCGGAGGGAGGTATTTAACTACGCAACATAGCAAGGACACTTGCAGTGATACCTCTGCCTACGTAGAGGCCTCTTACTCGCGTACTACATCCCTACGCTGCTACACTCCTGAAGCCCACCCATCTACTACAATTGGAAGCTTTTTCGAAGACATAATGCATGGAAACATACGATGCGACATTGTGCCGCCTCCACCCCCACGCAGGCTTACGTCCACACACCGCAAACCCCAACCAACCACATCCGACTACGACATACGAGTCGACGAGACCACTGAATTAGTATAGCTATATTTTGGCTCACATGGGTTGCTATCGGGTGTGCGGTGGGACACGTGCGTGGCGGAGGCGACGCAAAAACGACCGGCCCCCATTGGGACCCGTCTGGTCAACTACTTTTCCGCGAAGTCGCTCGCGAGGCGCATGCCTGGATCAACGTGACCACAGGCGCCAGGACGCCCGCCCAACAAGCTGCAGCCTTGCAGCGAGGCTTGGGAGGCCTCGCGCGGACCATAGCCATGAGAGTTCCCCCAGCAGTTAGCGAAATTTCGGCGTAAACATAGGTGGCCGCCATACCGATGGCGCCACCTACATCATGTTCCTCTTAAGTACGAAGTTCGAGAACCCAGAAGAGGAACGCCAACTCAACTCTGGTACAGCTCTCATTGACTGCCGAGTCCATGCGGGAGAACGGATCGACCTGACTTTGGCACGCTTCGAGATAGCCCGCTATGAAGCTGAAACGCCAGGTTTCAACGTCCCCAACTTTTGAATTCTAATTATTATTTAATTCAGAGCCCTTGGGGTGGGGACGTCGCGTGCACAATAACTCCTACAGCCACTAAACCACCGCGTGCCCAGGTGCCAGCAACAGTTGGACTCTCTACTTGAACGCGTGAGTTCATATGCCCACATTGCTGAAATTTCCCCTGGCAATATTGGTGGCATCTTCAGTCACGGTCGCCGTGCCGAGACCTTCCATGCTGAGGCCAACGCAGGGCAACCTGCTAATGGCGTCCGGAATGGCGATCCGCAACCAACGGAGACCACCGCATTGTTGACTCAGAATAGTGGTTCGGCCTCGGGGTTGCAAGACTCCTGGGCAAGGTTTCGGGGGCCGCTCGATGCGGCAGCCCTTGCGCGAGCCACTGCCCAAATGGGCTCAGCGGGTCAACCTGCTGAGTCCGACTTTGACTCCGGCACCGACACCGACGCGTCTTCGGACGACGAGGCTACCGCCCTAGACTACTCCGATATGCCCACGTACCTCACGGAAGAACAACAGGCGCAATGGTTGTTCTTAGGGCGCCACAAACATCAACGCAGGTGGGGGTGGTTTTTGAGGAAGCCCGTTCGCAAGGCGCGGCGCGCTATCCGACGGGCTTTCAGGGGCAGGGCAAGGGTCGAGGCAAGGGTACATGTAAACGGCGGCGGCTTCATGGCAGAGGCATGTTGGCATTTCTAGCATCCCTTACTGGTCCGCAATATAAATAATGCTCCTAGGTGCAAGCAGGAACCGCAGGCGCGCTTCAGGAAAAGGCAAGGGGCGTCGGGGGAACCCAGAGGATGCCAACGGTAAATCTATGGAGTGCGACATCTGTCATAGCACACAGCACTTTCGCCGCGAATGCCCTGGGGGCGATGGGAGAGGCAGAGGTCCGTCGATGCACCTGGCTCAAACTGACTCGGACACGATGCAGTATGTTGGCTGGGAGTCACTTATGGCTGACCCTGCCGACAGCTCAGTTGCAGTTGTGAACTTCATGCCTACCAGATATTTGAGCGCCCGCATGTCCCTCGATAGTTATGCCGACGAGCTCTCTGAGGAGATGTTCACTGGCCACAATGAGATCGACCTGGCAGACTGGCTGGGGACACCCATCGCGGGGCAACCTGCCGATGTTGAATTTGTCGAGAACTTCCACATGCCCGCCGAAGGAGATGACCAAATGGAGGCGACACCCGCGGATTCAGAAGTCACTATTCCTGCGACAGAGGAAGAAATAACATTAATGCTTATTCCTCGGGTTATTGGCAATCCGACAGACATGGAATTGAGTGAATATGGCCCTTTGCAGGGGAACCCGCGAGATGCTGGCGATCTGTCCGAGCGCATCCAGCGCGCGCTCGGCCACGACGAAGGACTTCAATATACATTCGCATCTCCGGACCGGCCCTTGAGCCGCCAGGAGCGATCGGCGAGCCGCCGGGCCTGGGGGCGTAAGTATCGCGCCGACGACGATGACGAATAATGGGATGATGACGCCCGCCTGGCGCGTCGCGGCCGGGCCCGCAGCGGCTCGCCCGACAGCGCGCGCGCTCCAGCGGCGCTCGCCCGAGCGGCCTTCGGCGCCCAAGGACCCCATCCAAGGAAGGACAATAGACCTGGCGCTCCACCGAGGAGGGGGCGCTCGCGGGGGCACCCGCGTCAAAGGGAAGAACCCCGCAAATAATATCCAGAATGCGAAATGCCGCGCCTTGTCGGCTGCTCGGATGCTGGATCGGTTCGCCAGCACATAGACCATAGACCACATGCGATGCGAGACTGGTTGAACAAGGGTCGTGCTGAGCACCAGACTCGCCGCTGGTATTCTCTTCGCAAGGTTGATCGAAATGACGAGGGCAGAGTCATTCGCTCAAAGAGGAGGGGGCTGCCAAACACACCAGAAGCTTTATAAAGCGTGGCTTTAAG